ACTAAGAAACTAAAGCTACTTCCGCATGAGTTCGATTCCCGCCTGCCCCGGAGGTGACCACATGGCGAGGCAGACCTCTCCTGACCCGCCCACTGCTCCCCTCAGCAGTGTACTTCCTCGATCTGCCTGTTCTGCTTCCCGCTCTGTCTCTGGTGAATCCTCTCACCCTCCACATCTCTGGCCTGTACCCCAGTTCTGTACAAATAAATAAAATAAATCTTTAAAAAAAAAAAATTTAAAAAATCTGTGCAAAGGGCACTGTCAATGGAGTGAAAAGACAGCCCACAGGATGGGAGAAATTATTTGCAAATCACATATACGGGAATCTAACATGCAGAATATATGAAGAACTCCTATAAATCAAAATAAAAAAGATAAAAAGATATAATTTAATGGGTCAAAGACATGAATAGACATTTCTTAAAAAAAAAAAAGATAGAAAATCGCCAGTAAACACATGTGAAGATGCTCAACATCATTAACTAGTAAGAAAATTCACATCAAACCCACACAATACCACTTCTCACCTATTATTAAACAACCAAACAAGAAACACACACCTCCCAAAACCCAGAATATAATAAGTGTCAATGACAATGTGGAGAAACTGGAATCCCCACATGCTATTAGTGGGGGAAGAAACAATACAGCTGTTTTAGAGAATAGTTTGGTGTTTCCTCATAAAATTAAAGGGAAAATTACCATGTGATCCACCAGCTTCACTCCCAGGAATATCCCCCCCAAAACAGAAATACAAGCAGATACTTTTATGCAGTCACAGCAGCATTATTTACTGTATAGTCAAAGGGTGGAAACAACTTGAGCGCCAATGCACAAACAAAACACGGTCTGTACACACCGTCACCTGTTAGTCAAAAGGAATGAAGCAGTACATAATAGCACACGACGGCCAGCCACTGAAAACACTGTTAAAGCATTACACTGAACATTAAATAAACCAGACATCAAAGGACAAATGTACAATGCCACTTATGTGAAATACAGAGAAGAGGCAAATTCATCGGACAGTAAGTGGATTAGAAGTCACCAAGAGGAGGGGGGCAATGCAGCATTATTGCCTAATGGGCAGGGTTTCTGTTTGGGGCAAAGACCAACTTTTAGAAATAGAAAGCAGTGTTGGTTGCTCAACATTGTTAATATAAGTAATGACAATCATATACTTAAAAATGGCAAACTGAATATGAACTTTTTGCCACAATATAAAAAAAACTGGGGTAAATGATGCAATTTTATTTTAACTATGAGTGGTAATAGTCCTTGTAATTAGTAAGTATTTGATCTCTGCCCTTAACTTTGGGTGAGTATGTCATTTCTACGTGTTCCCGGACTGTAGCAACAGGTAAAGCCTAAACCTTTGCTACAAGTTTTCCTGTTACATAAGCAATATTAGAAACTCAAAGGCAGTTGTAACCTGTATTAATAGGGTGACTGCTGTTCCTATTGTTTAAAAAAAGTCCACGTGGGCACAAGAGCCCAACGGATTAAGGCACAGCACTATGTAGCTAATGCAGCCACTGCAGCATGAGTCTGATCCCCACATGGCGCAGCAGACCTCTTCTGACCCACCCACTGCTCCCCTCTGTAGTGTATTTCAGTACAACTGCCTGTTCTGCTCCCCACTCTGTCTCTGGTGAATCCTCTCACCCCCTGCACCTCTGGTCTGTACCCCAGAGTTCTGTGTGCATAAACAAATAAATCTTTAGGGAAAAAAACTCCACGTATCAATTAACTCACTTAAAAGCAAACAAACATGACCAACAACATAAAATCCTGTATGCATACTACACACTACACATGAGACTGTGGGGGAAATGACTGCCACTGTGCAGAGGTAAGACAAAGACCCTGTTATTCAAGACAAAGTCTGATAAAAGCATCACAAGAGTTACAAGCCCAAGAGAAATTCAGAGGGAACTTGGTATTCCTTAGTTATATGACTCGACACTAAAATTCTAGTGTCATTAGGGTAAGAGGAAAACTTGAGGGCAGCACAGAATTCCTCCCATCTACCACATCCTATTCGAAATAATCTAAGAAATACAGTAAAATTGGCAGAATCCTGGAAACTAAGGAACAGAGTTCTCTATATGTCACAACATTAGTTAAAAACATGGGGGGAGGGGAGTGAGGACGTTGTGATACCTGTGGCCTACAGTTTTGTCTCTGGTGCATGTGGCAAATGATGAGCTCTACCTTTGCCTCCTTCCTTGGACAACTGAGCCCCATTCCCTCTAAAGAATGAATGCGATCAGTAAGTATTCTAAAGTAACAAAACAAAACAAAACAAAACAAAAACCCCAAAAAAACAAGAAATAAAGCAAATAGCATTTCTAAAGTGATATTTTCCCAAAACTTATGAAAATATACTCTGTGAATGAAATATAAAGAAGAGAGAGAAATCTCTCTTTTGTCTTTCTGAAACAAAAGACAAGCTGTAAAGAAACTAGTCAGTTTGCTTCATAGAAAAGGCAAATTCATAGGGACAGGAAGTAGATTAGAGGTCTAGTCAGTTTCTTTACAGAGCAGACATTTAGATAGATAATAAGTAGAACTGCAATGCAGAAAATGTTGCAATGAGATGGGAGGACTTTGGGGAACTTCCACCAAAAGGCAGGAAAAGAATAAAACTATGAAAACAAGAGGAGAGAGGGTAAGAGAACAGGAGAGGAGAGACTGATAAGAACACAGAGCGAATTCATGTCTTTTAGAAAAAGAATAAAATGAATAGAGAACCAAATAATGAACAGAAAACTGTCCTACGTAGAAAATGTTGAGTGTTCAGAACTTTTGCCTCAATACTGGGGACAAACAGGCACCAAGATAAAGTACAGTCTTGATCATTTCAACCTGAGTTTAAAAACAAGCCTCAATAGGATCAAACTATTTCCAAGTAACTTAATTATCTAGACTAGCTCTAGTGACGAATCATTACCTGAGCTTCCTCCCGCATGTGACCGCACGTGACCGGGAGGGGTAGGTGCTAAAGCAGGACTGCAATGACTGCTGAAGGGCTAGTGTGAGCTTTAACTGGGGCAGCTAAGACGTCAGACAGGATAATCTGTTGATGGAATTAAAAAGGAGCGATGATATAGAAGCTAATTATAAGATTTCAGCAAGTATCATCTAGATTTGAAGCAATGAAGTTAACAGTCAGTATAAGGGGGAACTGATGAGGAAGAAACTGACTTGAGGAGTAGACCAAAGATCCAATAGTACAAGGTATAAAATAATATTATTAAGAAGTGAAACACTACTAAGAAAGCAAAAGGATGACTGAGAGGATGGGAGGAAATATGCACAAACCATGTAACTGGCAAGTGGTTTGTATCCAGTTATGTATATATTACTATGTAACGACCCCTTAAACTTAAAAAAACTCAACTGAAAAAAATGAGCAAAGGATCTAAAGACATTTCTCTGAAGACAGAAATGAGCACAAAAGAATGCTCACCACAAAGCAACGCCACAGTGGGTGCCACAGTGGTTCCCACCAGGAACGCTATGGCAAAGAAGACAGACAAAAACAACTGTGGGCAAGGAGATGGGTGGGTTAGAACCTTTACAAATCGTGGGTGGAAATGCAAAATGGCACAGCCACTTTCTAGAACAGTCTGGCAGCTCCTTCAACATTAAAATTACCATGTAACCCAGCAATTCCTCTGAAGTTTCCTGAGTAACTAGAAAATGTCATCAATAACAGGAGTAACAACAGCTTCCACTGTTAAATGCACACTACTGCACCAGAATCGATGCAAAGCACTTTTATATTCGATCTCATGTAACGCCCCGAGCAATCTCCTGGTAAGCATTTCTTATTCCTGCTATATGGAACGGGAAATCGTGAGGAGAAACTGCTTGTTCGGGACATGTACCCCTGACAAGAGTGACGTTGAAATTTAAACTCAAAACACTTGCACTATAATTTGAGATGAGACAATATGGAATGTAAAGACAATTTTCACAGAAATCTGTTATATATAATGGACTCATAAAGATAACCCCAATTCTCTGATTAGCTACTAGCAATTTGATGCTATTTTGCACATTAAAAATCCAACAGCAACAGTTTTAAAACACTCCAATCCCTGCTCATTCCCTCCATGCTTCACGGAAGCTATGTAGCTTTTTTTCCCCTCAAGCAGAGGACGAAAGGCAAATATTGAAGAATCACTGAACTGGATATGACCTCCAAGATCCCTTCCACCTTTGTTGAGTTTAATAGCAGTCACTACTGCTGGAGGATTATGGGTGCTGGTGAGTGGGGTGTGGTGTGGTGACATACAGTTGAAGAGGTATGAAGCTGTGCCTTTAAATCATATATAGTGTTGTAAACCTACATTGCCTAATAAAAAAACAATTAAAAAGCAGTATCCACTACTTATTATTCAGCTGAAGAATTATACGTCAAGTTTTACACACTGCTGAAACATCAATTACATATCCTAAAAATACAGATGACAGCAATATAGGGAAACTGAACTACCAGCTACTTTTCTTGAAGCCCTCCAGAGTGTCCTTTAATCAGAGCATATGGTAATTTGCATGCTTACTGTAGGAAGCACACTGCACACAGTAAATATTGCCTTAGTAAATCTGATGGCTGGCACATTTGTACCATTAGTCAAATGACACTTTATAGTCCTCAAAGTCGACTATGTAAACACTAGCGCAGTAACACCCCCGCTTCATCGCACTCTGGATGAGTGCACTGACACGCAAGGTCACAAAGCTTGGTGGGTTTGTTAGGATTCAAGCAAAGTGCAAGTCCAAGTCCGGCATTTTGCAAAGTTTAAAAAAAAAATCACTCAGATGTTTCTGGGAGCCAATGCTCTCAAGGCAATGACTGGCTTTAAAATGCAGTTAACTCCTCATCAGAAAGCACTTCTAGAGCAATTAAATACAACCACAGTATTATTTTTGCCCAAAGAGAAGCCATTTTACAGCTAAAAAGCTATATTATCAATACATTTATAGCTTACCTAACTCAGAGCTGTATTCCCGGGATAAGTAAAATTCCTTATGCCATGGCCATCAGACAGCAGTATGAATGAATGATGAAGAGGAGCCCACTTCTCAGTTTTGCTTCAAATTAAAATCATATTGACTTCTGAAAGAAAAAATTATGTGCAAAATGTAAAGAGATGATGGTATCAAGTACCTGGTTAATAAATCCCACCCATGCATGTGCACAGCAAAAAGAAAATGAATCACGACTGGGATTTTGGCAGCACTAACTAACTTTTATTCGGCAATTCTCAGGCTCTACCTTTTGGAGTGGTTTTAGATTTACGGAAAAGTCACAAAGGCAAATGCTGAGAGTTCCTGAATGTCCTCACCCAGTTTCCTTTAACACAAACTTCTTACATCACCATCATACATTTGTCAGAAATGGAAAATCAACTCTGGTCAATGCCAACTTAATTTCACTGAATGAAATTACCCTCTGCAAAAGTACGCTGAGTCTCCTGACCAGTATGGTAAGCAGCACACCTGTATTTTCTCCTAATAGGTACACTTTCAAATAATTTAGTAAAACCTATTTTAGGATTAAAAAAACCCAAGCTACTTTGGGAAGTGCTTTTGATCCCTGACTCCTTTTTGTTTAGCCATAGCTAAATGTTTTACAAAAAATTGCAAGGCAAAGGATCCATTGTGATAAACTCTGAAATTCAAATGAGAATATAATTCTAGCCACTAACTCCGCAATAATCATTTCTCCCACTACAATAAAGCCAAGGAAATGTTTTTCCTTTACATATATGTATACATTTCACATCGCTCTTCCTTTTTGTATAATGTATGCTTTCTCCTCCCAGGTGCAGCCCCATATAGCTCCTGCCACCAATTCACCCATGCACTTGTGTCTAAGTCCCTTATGCTCTCCCTCTCCCCAGCCAAAGAAGTGTTTTTAACTGCAGCCTCATATTCATTAGAATTCAGGTTAAAAAATCTGAAGTCAAGAAAGCAGAAGGCATAAATATAACTTATTTCATGAAGTAACTATACATCAACAAAAAATTTCCCCCCCTTCAATGTTAGAGATAAGACAAAAATCTCTAGTCTAAACGTGAATATAAATACGTTGAAAACAATAACTTCATGAAAAGGAAATAAAACACATTCAGTTGATTTTAAGGGGCATATTTTCCCCCACACTTAAAGTGTTCTGAAAGCAGAACAGTGGTTCAAGTCTAAAAATGTTCTTAAGAATTTTTGAAGCCTCCAATAACAAGAAAACAGAGTTGGTGGTGTTTTCCTTTGGTAAAATAATCAGTGGCCAGCTAGGATTCAATTCAGCTGACAAATCTCACAGGAAAGGTTGATAAACACAGTTTAAGTAAGAGAACAGTAAACAAAAGCCTTCCTTCCCATCAGAAAACATGCAAAACTGACAACACCTTGCATTTTGACAACAGGGCTATTTTTTAACCCTAAGTTTTTTTCAAGTGGAAAGTAAATCTTCCACGCATTTCATACTTAGGTTTCAGAGTATGCACTGAATCCAAGGAATAAGGAAGGAGGAGTGCCAGATTTTCGGGGAATTCTTTTAACCAAACTCAGTTTCTAAGGATATTGGCTGTGAAGAGAACAGGCATCTATAAACACAGATTCCACTAAATGTTACTAAAAGCCACAGGAAAAAACTCTAAAATCACATTTTCAAAGTAAGTATTAGCTGCAGGAGTCGCCAATCAGCACTTTTTTTTTTGGTGCTGTGGTTAAAGAAAGTCAACATAAACTTTCCCACTTTAACCATTTTAAAGTAGCAGTAAACACACAATGCTAGCTAGCATCTCCACTATCCACTTCCAGAACCTTTCATCATCCCAAACACAAACTTTGTTTCCATTAAACAAAAAAATTCCCCTTCCCCTCCTCCCCAAACCTGGTAAACTACTCTCTACTTTGTTTCTAGAAATTAGCCAGTACCAGATAAGACACCTCAACTAAGTGGACTCATACCATATTTGGGGGTTTTCTGTGATTGGATTATTTCTCCAATGAGCAATTTTGTAAAGCAAAGAATTCCAAATTATTAAATTTCTCCTAACTTAAACACACATAACAGACATAATCTCTGAACAAAGCCAACAGCTCTCCCAGAAATCCCAGAAGCCTCAAAGGCCAGAGGATCTCAGTCACACCCTTCCTTCATCTATAGAAGGGCCTGGTAAAGCAGCTGCTGGTCAAGGAGCAGGCTTCGGGGCCATCCTGGGATAAGGGGACAGAGCAAAGGGAAGTTAAGGGAGCTGTGCAGGTCTGAAAACCCAAGGATCAGAAAAGGCAAGGAAGGCTTCAGCACGCCGCTCTGGCCCAGAGATGGCCTCCTGTCGCCCTCCACGAGCTCCCACACCCTGACACTTAGGCTGGGCGACACCTGTCAGAGTTGAGCCAGGCTGCAGTCTAATCACTGCGAATGTCACCACTGCAGGAAGCTTCACGGGGTCATGAGTCACCTCCCATGGCTCAGAGGTCCGGGCAGGCCTGCCTTACCCCGCCCAAACGAACCCAGTTAGGAGAGACAGAAACGAGAGAAAGCTGCAAAGCTGGCAGCGAGAGACACACAAATGGTCAGAGCTAGGCGAACAGGCAGGCCGCGAACCAGATAAGCACTGAGGGAAAGAGAAGGCCAAGAGACGCGTTGGTCTGCAAGGTTCAGGTAGCGCCGGGATCCTCCGGCACCGGCGAGGGAGCCAGGGCAGAGACACACAGAGTTGGCGGGGGGCGAGCTGAGCGGCCAGGAGGGCAGGGGCACAGAGACGGAACCCAGGGGTGAACGGAGGCCGGCAGCGGCGAGCCCCGGGGCTGCCTTTCCCGGCTCAAGCCCCAGGCGTCCAGCCGCGCCCACTCGGCGCCCCCGAAAGGCCGGCGGGCAGGCGGGGGCGGGATCTCTAAGCGCTCCGGCCGCCGAGGTCCGGCGCCGCGGGGTGACCTTGGGCGAGACTGCCTCGGGGCCCTCGGGTCACGGTCAGTGCGCCGGGCTGGCTGGAGGCCGCAGGACTCAGACCCGCGGCGCCGCGGCTCCAACGGCCCGCGCGGTTCAGGTCTCCCGGCCGGCGGGAAGGGCCTGCGGGGCAGGCGGCGCGCGCTCCGGGACCTGCAGGGGCACCCCGAAACCTCCCTGGCTCCCCTCCCAGCGCCCTCGCTACCCGCTGTCCCGCCTCCGCCGTACCTGCCAAGGGCGCCGCGCTCACATAGCCCGCCAGGGAGACACTCACCACCGGCGCCAGGCCCGTTCAAGCCGTAGCCGCGACTGCCTCAATCTGCGCCTCACGCCCCCGGAAATGCTTCCCAGTCCCGCCCCCTGAGACAGCCAGTGCTTCCGGGGGTGCGTCAGAGAGTCGACCGCGTGCGCATGCGGGATTCACGTTAGGGGCGGGGCGTCGGAAGAGCGCGCCGAGGTCGCCTGCGCCTGCGCGGATCAACGTGCTGCAGGTCTACGGGCTTTAGGGTCTCTGAAGACACCTTTGGGAACTGGGTTGCTGATACGAGGCCTCAGTCCTTTTTAAATTTAGATTTAACCTCAGCTTAACGGAGATTGCATCACATTCATTTCTGTTTTCACAGCGCCTGCCCTGTTGTTCCGCATGTAGTGGCTGCTCAGTAAATGGTCAAAGTAAATAGTCCAGTCTCTATTGTAGTCTGATGGGGCGAGAGGAGCTGCGCTCAGGCTCTCCAGGGCCCAACACCCCCCCCTTAACATTCACCCCCTCCCTAGCTCCCAACACACAAAGCACAAGGAAGGTCTTCAGTACAGGGACCTCTTCTGGACCAGTTCATAAACCCTCTGCAGAAGAGGTAATCCATACTAACCCCAAATCCAGATATCTGCAAGGATTTAGTCAGAGAAACTTCGGGATTTAGGATAGATGCTCGCTCTGGGTCAGACACACCTCTCTGGGGTGGTCTCTGCCTTAGTTCAGACCATCCAGTTTCTGGCTGTTGCTGTGCCTGGCTGGCTTTGGGGGCTCTAGACGCCTTCCCCTCCCCGCACTTCCAGACAGGAGGCTGATAACTTTCTGAAGGAATATTCTGCTGCAGATAAATTCTAGGAAACAAAACCAAAAATATCGAAGCTCAGAAATGGAACTAGGTGCAGAACAACTTGTCAAAGTTTCTGCTTCAAGGGTACATCCTCCAGCTCCCTTTTAAAGCAAACTGTGGCACATAACTTTCAGCCAAGAATTCCCACTTACAGACTATTCTGGTAGCTCTTATCCCTCTTGTATTGCTTCCCTCAACCTCCCAAGAAAACACTCAATTTGTTCAGGTCCCAGAGGCGATCCCTTGATCTCAGGGAGGTAGACTCTTCGCACCAGCTGAGGAAGTGACTCATAGTTGGTCCAAACCATTCACGGCAGTTTCATTCTCATTAGCCAGTAGTCAGACCAGGCATCTTCCGGCTAACTTCGGTCAATGAGGACATGTACTTACTATACTGTACAAGCCACTGTGGCTTCAAGGGAAAAACAAAAAAATTTTTTAACAAAGTCCACTAGAATGTCTAGTTGGGAATGAGCCAAAAGGAGTATTTTGCCACTTTAATTTTTGTCCTGACTAAGCTGACCAGTCAGTACGAAGTGCTTTTGACTTGATAAGCAAATCCTAAGGTCAGCAAAGCAGGAAAATAGAGTGAGCTTCAGTCTCGCAAGACCTGAAGCTGCAGCCCAGTTTTGGACTGCTTGCTGGATGTTTTGTTTACATGAGCCTGTAACTTCATCTTCTTCTTCATTTTAAGATTTATTTATTTATTTGTGCATACAGGTACAGGCAGGCCAGAGAGGGGGGTGGGGGATTTACCAGAGACAGATTCGGGAGAACAGGTAGATCGACAAAGTACACTGCTGAAGGGAGCAGCAGGGAAACAGGAGAGGTCTACATGCCATGTGGTTCAGCTCCCTAGCTGGGGCTCGAACTCGTGCCGAGACAGCCACTTCACAGTGCTGTGCCTTAACCAGCTGTGCCACTGGTGTGGGCCCCTATAAACTTACCTGGACTTGATGTCTTGGAATATTGAGGACTACATCTCTCTAAATCTAACAGCAATAAGCTATATAAGCTTGCCCGGAGAAATACTGCAAATACCCTTTGAAATGCACGGAGCTTGTGAGAAAGTCAGGAAAATCATATGAGCCAGGAAGGAAGCAGAAATAGAAGCCTGATTGATGGCCAGAGGTCAGGTGGGGCCTATTCGGTTCTGACTGGCTGGCGCTCATGCTGTACTGGCAAGTATTTTGGGAATCCTCTCTGGAGATAAGCATCGATGCTTCTACCAGCTATAGGGGCAACTACCAGGGTCCAGACTGGATGAAAGTCATGTTGGAGCATCATGTAGGACACAAGAAGGGATATATCTTCAAGGGAAGGGGAGTAGGGAAAGAGAAAATGTCTGCTCTGCAGAGGCAGGAAGCAAGGAAAATTATCTTTCTTTGCCTTATGTCTTGATGGAAGGGTCAAACATTTCCCCAGTAGATCCGGGCCCAAATATCTGAACCTCCCAGGGCCACACTGTTTGTCTGGTTTAAAAGACCCCAAGCAGAATATTTTATTTTAAAATAGCCCTAAGTAAAAGGAAATAGACACAATAAAAAACACAAAAAGTGGGAACTCGATACAAAGTGGAACGATGAATGCAATTGGATCAGTAATGTGTTAAGTCATAAAAATCTAAAACTTCTCATTAATAGATGGTAACACCAGATTCTTTTATTTTTTTTTTTTTTTAACATCAAGCTATTGGCTATTCGAGACACTAAGCCATGAAGAAAATGTGAAGTGAAAGGATGTAAAAGATACTCCTTGCTGAGCCTGTTAGATGTGTTAACGTCAGGTAGAATTGACTTTAAAAGCATTGCTAGAAAAATGCAGTAGATTGTATTATTGTTTTTGATAGTTTGCTGGCCTGTGTGTTTCTTTTAAGAATTAGGAAGAGCATCTTCCAGATGGGTTACTCCTTCCTGGATCTTTGAATGAAGAAAACATAGGCTAGACCAGGAGTCCCCCAAAGCACAAAGAACTGACTGAACATGAGCAAGAAATTAGCCCTGAAGTCACTGAGGTTTTGAAGTTGGGTGTGGTCATTGTGGTTCCCCTTGACTAAAGTGACATGAAATGTGTGACTCCCCGGCAGGTGCTTTGAGATCCTTGCTATTACACTATTGCCACAGCCTAACTGAGAAAAAGGTGATGAATTACGAACAGGCTCTTTTATAATGAGAAAAAAGTTCCCACGAACCAGGAGTCCACCCATATTCCAGCTTGCATCCACATAGCCATAGAGCTTTAAACTAGAGGAGAGAGTGAAAACACAAAGTTTTCAACATGAGATTGTGCAACTCACATAGTGCTGGCTGCACTTTCTTTCTCCTGGGTACTTAGTAGCCTTGCCCTTGAACACAGACAACAGCGGCGTTCTCTTTCAACTGGAAACTTTAAAAGCCAGTGTTTCCCTTCTTCTCTGCCATGGAGGCCAGCAGTGCTCCAGAGGTAACTTGCCCCATCAAGATGTGTCCTGGAGTGAATGTAGTATGAAGGCAAGCCCCCAGCTGAGCAGAGACAAACAAGCTGTGTAATGAAGAGACTTCTGATGAAAGCTGCTAAGATTTTGGAGTAGGAGGTTTGCACCATAACCTACGTTATCATGATTATTAAAGATACATACTTTTAAATTGAGGTACAGTTCGCCCACAGAAAATTCTCTGATTCCATGTAGACCTCTGGGATTCTTGATAAACACAGTCATGTTACTGCCTCTCGGGAAGAGCTGCACTAGCTCCCCAAATTTCCCAGTGCCCCCTGCAGTCAACCCCTCTTTCCTTGCAAGCACTGATATTCCCATAGCTCGTCCTGGTCCATAATGGAACGGTGTAGAGAGTGGACTTAGAGTCCGGCTTCCTCCACTTTCCATGCTGGATGTGTGACCAGCCCATGTTGAGTGTTCTAGTGGTCAGCTAGTGGTTAACTAGGCTGGATTCCACCCTAGGCCACACCACAACTTATTTATCCATTTCCCAGCAGAAAAACATTTGAATTGTTTCCAGCTTTCAGTAATTAAGTCAATCAACTATATATGTGCACACATTTTAAGTTTTTATTTCATTTGTGTGGCTTGTGATGAGTGGGATTACTGAGTTGTATCTTAAGTGTATGTTTAACATTTGCAGGAGAATTCTACTGCCCCACATCCACAATGACAGTTTTTAAAAGCCACATTAGAGAAAGGAGGAATGTGGGAGGCTATGGGGTGATGGGGGGGGGGGAAGCAACCATTGTTGTAAAATGAACAATAATGTAAACAGATACAAAAATAAACAAATAAATAAAAGCCACAGTATAGATATGCAGTGGTATCTTGTGGTCTTACTTTACATTTTTATACTGTTTAGTGATGTTGACTATCTTTTTATGTCCATGTTTTCTCTGATTCTTATTCAGGGAAGTGTTTGTTCAAATCTTCTGTCCTTTTTTAAAAATTGGGTTGTCTCTTTTCTTATGCTTGAATTTTGAGGTTGTTGGTGTGCTGTGAATGTAAGTTCTTACCAGATATTCAATTTGCAAATGTTTTCTGCTCTGTGACTTACCCTTTAACTTTCTTAAATAGTGTCTTTCAAAGAAAAGAGGTTTTAGTTTTGATGCAGTTTCATTTATCTTTTTTTTTTTTGTACATACAGAACTGGGGTACAGGCCACAGGCTCAGGGGCGGTGAGAGGCTTCACCAGAGACAGAATAGGGAGCAGAACAGGCAGATCGGCGAAGTACACTGCTGAGGGGAGCAGCGGGCGGGTCAGGAGAGGTCTGCCGTGCCATGTGTTCACCTCCGGGGCAGGCAGGAATCGAACTCATGCGGAAGTGGCTTTAGCTACTCATTGCTGTGCTTTAACCCGCTGCGCCACCAGGGAGGGCCCTCATTTATCATTTTATTTTTGTGAATTGTGCTTTTAGAATTGTACCCAAAGAAATTTTGCACAAAACAAAATAAAAAATATTTTTTCCTGTGATTTTCCCCCTAGGTTTAAGATTTAGGTCTAAGATCCAGGTTCACTTAAATTTTGTACATCATACAAGGTGTTATTGAGGTTTAATGTGGTTAGCTTTTAATTGTTCCAGCACTATTTGTTGAAAAGATAGGTTTAAAAACAACATAACTTTCTCAGTACTTGACAGAACAAATAAACATCAAAGATAGTCTTGATCTAACAGACATGCATAGAACCCTGAAGAATGTATATCGTGTGGCT